AATGTCTCTTCTGAGCGCTCTTTGATCGTTGGTTACTTTCATCTTCTTTATTCAACATAGACTTCTATTTTAAATCGATGATTAAGTTGAGAACTTTCCATGGTTTCTCTACGAAATTTTAGAGCAATGTCTTTTCTGAGTGCCCTTTGATCGTTGGTTACTTTCATCTTCTTTATTCAACATAGACTTCTATTTTAAATCGATGATTAAGTTGAGAACTTTCCATGGTTTCTCTACGAAATTTTAGAGCAATGTCTTTTCTGAGTGCCCTTTGATCGTTGGTTACTTTCATCTTCTTTATTCAACATAGACTTCTATTTTAAATCGATGATTAATTGAGAACTTTCCATGGTTTCTCTACGAATTTTTAGAGCAATGTCTTTTCTGAGTGCCCTTTGATCGTTGGCTACTTTCATCATTTTTATTCAACATAGACTTCTATTTTAAATCGATGATTAAGTTGAGAACTTTCCATGGTTTCTCTACGAATTTTTAGAGCAATGTCTTTTCTGAGTGCCTTTTGATCGTTGGCTACTTTCATTTTTTTTATTCAACATAGACTTCTATTTTAAATCGATGATTAAGTTGAAAACTTTCCATGGTTTCTCTACGAATTTTTTAGAGCAATGTCTTTTCTGAGTGCCTTTTGATCGTTGGCTACTTTCTTATTTTTTATTCAACATAGACTTCTATTTTAAATGGATGATTAAGTTGAGAACTTTCCCTGGTTTCTCTAAGAATTTTTAGAACAATGTCTTTTCTGAGTGACCTTTGATCGTTGGCTACTTTCATTTTTTTATTCAACATAGACTTCTATTTTAAATCGATGATTAAGTTGAGAACTTTCCATGGTTTCTCTACGAATATTTAGAGCAATGTTTTTTCTGAGTGCCCTTTGATCGTTGGTTACTTTCATCTTCTTTATTCAACATAGACTTCTATTTTAAATCGATGATTAAGTTGAGAACTTTCCATGGTTTCTCTACGAATATTTAGAGCAATGTTTTTTCTGAGTGCCCTTTGATCGTTGGTTACTTTCATCTTCTTTATTCAACATAGACTTCTATTTTAAATCGATGATTAAGTTGAGAACTTTCCATGGTTTCTCTACGAATTTTTAGAGCAATGTCTTTTCTGAGTGCCCTTTGATCGTTGGCTACTTTCATCTTCTTTATTCAACATAGACTTCTATTTTAAATCGATGATTAAGTTGAGAAACTTTCCATGGTTTCTCTACGAATTTTTAGAGCAATGTCTTTTCTGAGTGCCTTTTGATCGTTGGCTACTTTCATTTTTTTTATTCAACATAAGACTTCTATTTTAAATCGATGATTAAGTTGAGAACTTTCATGGTTCTCTACGAATTTTTAGAAGCAATGTCTTTTCTGAGTGACCTTTGATCGTTGGCTACTTTCATTTTTTTTATTCAACATAGACTTCTATTTTAAATGATGATTAAGTTGAGAACTTCAATGGTTTCTCTACGAATATTTAGAGCAATGTTTTTTCTGAGTGCCCTTTGATCGTTGGTTACTTTCATCTTCTTTATTCAACATAGACTTCTATTTTAAATCGATGATTAAGTTGAGAAACTTTCCATGGTTTTCCTACGAATTTTAGAGCAATGTCTTTTCTGAGTGCCCTTTGATCGTTGCTTACTTTCATCTTTTTATTCAACATAGACTTCTATTTTAAATCGATGATTAAAGTTGAGAACTTTCCATGGTTTCCTCTAAGAATTTTTAGAACAATGTTCTTTTCTGAGTGCCTTTGATCGTTGGCTACTTCAATCTTTTTATTCAACATAGACTCTTATTTTAAATCGATATTAAGTTGAGAACTTTCCATGGTTTCTCTACGAATATTTAGAGCAATGTTTTTTCTGAGTGCCCTTTGATCGTTGGTTATTTCATCTTCTTTATTCAACATAGACATATTTTTTAAATCGATCGATTAAGTGAGAACTTTCCATGGTTTCTCTACGAATATTTTACAGGCAATGTCTTTCTGAGTGCCTTTGATCGTTGGTTACTTTCATCTCTTATTCAACATAGACTTCTATTTTAAATGGATGATTAAGTTGAGAACTTTCCATGGTTCTCTACGAAATTTTTAGAGCAATGTCTTTCTGAGTGCCCTTTTGATCGTTGGCTACTTTCATCATTTTTTATTCAACATATGACTTCTATTTTAAATCGATGATTAAGTTGAGAACTTTCCATGGTTTCTCTACGAATTTTTAGAGCAATGCCTTTTCTGAGTGCTTTTGATCGTTGGCTACTTTCATTTTTTCATTCAACATAGACTTCTACTTTAAATCGATGATTATTGAGAACTTTCCATGTTCTCTACGATTTTTAGAGCAATGTCTTTTCTGAGTGCCTTTTGATCGTTGGCTACTTTCATTTTTTTCATTCAACATAGACTTCTATTTAAATCGATGATTAAGTTGAGAACTTTCCATGGTTTCTCTACGAATATTTAGAGCAAAGTTTTTCTGAGTGCCCTTTGATCGTTGGTTACTTTCATCTTCTTTATTCAACATAGACTTCTATTTTAAATCGATGATTAAGTTGAGAACTTTCCATGGTTTCTCTACGAATTTTAGAGCAATTGTCTTTCCTGAGTGCCCTTTGATCGTTGGCTTCTTTCATCATTTATTATTCAACATAGACTTCTATTTAAATCGATGATTAAGTTGAGAACTTTCCATGGTTTCTCTACGAATTTTATGAGCAATGTCTTTTCTGAGTGCCTTTTGATCGGTTGGCTACTTTAATTTTTTTCTATTCACATAGACTTCTATTTTTAAATCGATGATTAATGTTTGCAGACATTTACATGGTTTTTCCCTAACG